GATATTTAATATGAAACTTTACAATTCCGCTGTGTAAGTCGATTGGCGACTGAGAGCCGCCTCTGGAGTGCAAAGGGTTAACCCTTTGTCGAGCGTGACTCGACAACAGTTTTATTCACAGGTGTGCTTCTTTGTAAAGATGTTTTTAAAATAGATTACGTTATTATGTTATTTTCAATATTATTAGTAAGAAGAACCGTTTACACTGCTCTCTACAAACTATCTATCTTTTAAAATGCATTTCAAACAAAATATCGTAATAATACAGAGTTATCGAGGAGAAAATGCAAAAGAAATTCGGAGTGCAAAGGGTTAATTCATCCAAGTACACTACGATGGCCATGGTTCTCGAGGAAATCTCGACGGCCCTGCGTGCCGGCCGTGTGCGTGACGTGAACCAACACGCGAGCGCAGGCTCGCGTGTCACCGTCGTAACCCTTGAGTACATCGGTAGTCCCACGATGGACGGGGGGGCTCGCGGCTGAAAGGAAAGGGGCTGAAAAAAGGTGTGAATGCCGGATGGCGTTCATTCAAATGCCGTCCAATCGCAGCTGTCGTGCTCCGGGTCGAGTGGCAGGACCGGGATCCACGTATACACCGGGAATTATTAATTCCTCGCCAGCTCCGGTGAACGTAGTGTATCGCATTAACAACGCGAGTTAACCCGAAATCGGTGGAAACACGCTGATCGCGACTTTTTCGCGAAGAAACAAAGAAAACGAACCGGGAAACGCATACGGTTCATTCGAATGGGCTCACAGTTTGGCTTGAAGTTTCGCGATAGCTCACTTCAACTTTTGATTAACGTCGCCTAGAGCTTTGGGGCGTTCGAAGTTGTGAAATAAATGTGAGACTGGTTGTTTTGAACATTTCTTTTTAATTGTCATTCCAGTTTTGAGTTTTAGAGGATATTATGTGGTTAGGATCCGTGGAGCTAACACTAGAGCTACCGAACAGTTAAATTATTTTTTGAAATTTCTCTGTAGAATCTAGATAGTGCAACTATGGAGAATTCAATTGATTTGTAATGTAGTTTGTATATTGGTGAATTAATTTTTCTAGTTCTCGGAGAAGCTTGCGTTATCTTTCCGATAACTGGAAGAAAGAAATGGATGGGTTATTTTGGCCCATGCGATAGTTCTAGTGTTCAAAAATTATATTTTAATTGGAGGCATAAGAGAAATGCTAATAGTTTAGAGGTTTTGGACGTTTTTGAAATTTTCTCATACTTGAGTTGTTAATCAGTTAATTATTAATAATAATAGATTAAGTATTAACGATGATAACAACTAATTTAGGGAATTAGTATTCTTAGACTTATGATACTTGATTGAAGACAAGCTACTGGAAAAGGACACGAACATGAAAAGCTATATCATTTGAAAAATTGTTTTAGTTTTATGAATCTGTTGTAGTTTTATAGGTGTACCAGAAAATACGAAAACATAAAGTATGTTTGATGAACCACAAAGTTAATACTTTCATCAACATCCCCTAAAAACCCATGGCAATTTGACAAAAAGAAATGTTTAAGTCACCGAAGTATGCTAATTTGCCTGTGTTTTTGTTTATTTTGGTTTTAATTAACATGCTAATTGCAGCGTGGGGTCAACCACAGCCCCACATATGCATATACAGGGGTTCATTTCTGGCACGAAGCAATTCTCGCGCATAAATCGCGACTCCAGTCGCGTATCTCGCCGTTCTGCGTCGTCGAAAATTAATCGTTGTCCGTCTCGAAAAGTGTGTCAAACGTCTCGATCGATCGATTATTACGTCGGTGTCGTACGTCCTGCCGATTGGTTCGTATTATCGTCGCTCCACCGATTCCGACCCCTACTAGCGGCTAACAAAAGCCAGCCCGAGTGTACGGTCCAAAATTAGGAGCACCGCGCGACACCTTCCAGAATACTAAAACACCTTACTCAATATGTGATCACGACACCACGACCTTTAGAGACAAACTTGGAATTAAATCGATCGCTCCATACTACGATTTTACTCTAACCGTTTGCCTCAAGGACAATTCTGGCTCTACCGTCGCATGAAGCGAATTTATATATGTCGCTTTAGAGTTCTGTTGTAAGACAAAAACGTGTGGAGGAATGTTTTATTTGAAAGTAGAAAGTTTGGACGAGTAGGACAACATTGAGTTGTTATTAAGAGTTTCAAACTGATTATTATTCTTCTTTTAAGAAATATTCAGAGTTCTAAAGAACTTATTAAATTTATTAGGTTTCTTTAGGTATAGAAATAGTTTAGTAGATGGTATAAATATTAGAAATACTTTCTCATTTTGTAATTATTGAAAAGGTATAGGTGCTTCTCTGAGAAATTATTGAATAAATTAATTTAGTAATAGATGAACTGAAATGTATGTAATATTCATCTCAAGTTTTCATTCACTCCTATTTGCAATTAAAAGTTTTATTAAGAATCTAATGTTCAATTACTAAATTAACTAAATAACTCTAACAAAATATTAACAGTTTGTAGAACTCCCAGTACAAGTAGCGTAACATCTACAGTAACTAACACTACAAATACCAAACAACTGAAGTCACATGTCTCTCAAAAAAATCAAAGCACATTGTTTACAACTTGAAAAGCCTATTGCTCTAATACCTTAATTCCCCACAAAAGACTTTTCATAATTTCAATAATCACTAAATAAAAATTCTAAAACAAGTAACTATAACAATTCCATTACTTCCAGTACTAAAACAGAAAATTATTTAAAATCGTGCATCATCGCAATTCCCACAATCGCGGAACAAAAATTTTAAAATGGGTCATTCCGAGCCGTCCACTAGTTCCAGCATCAAGGATTAAAACGCGTTGAGAACCGCTGCGCGAAGTGGGATCACCGCTTCGATTGGCCCCAATCTGTCCAGTCGCGAGCGTCCAAGGAATCATCGGTGCGATCATCGATAAGCGAGCCGCCGTAAAAGGGAAAATTTCAATCTCTCCGATTAGGGGGTGGCGCCCCTAGTGGATCGGGCCTAGCTACGTCACTGGTACGCATACGTCGATGCCGGCGAGCGTGCAGCTTACATACGAATAACGACGCCGTCGACGAGGACGAGGACGCATTACACCCCCACCATCACGTACTACGAAATACTACGTTCTGTGATGCGGTGCAATTAAGCCAGCGCCACCTCCTCCCACAGCCCCCCTCTCCAACCCTCAGGCTTCTTCGTTCCAACCCCTCCACAGCTACGCCGTCTTTACCCTCACCCGCCGAACCCGGCAGACCTCGGACCTGCACGAGCGCAAGTCCGTCTCTTCTTTTAACCGCCCCCTACCCCGGGCCGTTTATCCATTCGTTCATTCATCAGAACACGCTTCTTTAACCGGCTCGCCCGTTCGAACCCGCGCCGCGTAACCCCGCATTCCTAGGCGTTAATTCTAGCGCAAGCCCTAGGTCATCTTAGGCTACACGGATTTCAGCGATACGGGTCCTTTTGTTGGGGATTCAGTTCGGAATGGTCTTTGGTGGGTTACTTACTTATTCCTGAAGGAATAATTGAGAGAATAATTGTTGAGTTTTAGTTTAAGGGGCCTAATTGGCAAAAGATATAAAATTGCTGTTTGGATGTAGGTTAGGTTTAACGTAGAAGTTTAGGTTAAGTAGATTCTAAGCTATGGGAAGAATAGAAACTGTGGAAAAATGTTTTGAATTTGGGTTGGGAGAAAGCAATTGGTAACAACAATGTGTTTGAGACTGGGGTAATTAAAAGTGTTCTTAGACGTTGATTCTGGCGCAAGCCATAGATCATCTTAGACCATTCGAATTTCGTTAATATTAATCCTTTTGTTAAGATATTCGTTTGGGAGGGATCTCTGTTATGTCACTTATTTATTCATAGAAGTCTAACAAAATTAAAAACTACTTTTTCGATTTTATTTGAGAGGGTGGGGGAATCAGAAAAATGGAACATAATGTTTAGTTTTTGGCAAGATCTAATCTAGAATTTGCGGTTAAGCAAAACCTACGCCATTACATAAAATTCAACTTGGGAGTGTCTATTATTCGGAATTCAAATTTACGAAGGGTTGGCTGAATTCTAGCTCCTTTAGTTAATATTAGAGATAATGTGTTTCATGGTTTCTATGGGAAAGCCTCTGTTCTTGTTACCTTTGAATACGATCCACTCTTGAAACCTTAACGAGGAAATGTTACAATGAGACTGAACGCAATTCAAATAGTTGTTTTGCAGTAACACTTGGACCATTGTACTCTAAACGAGTCATTGTTACAATTTTTCCTTACTTTGATATTGGAGTCAGCATTACAGCATAATGAATGGTAGAACTTCAAAGATGTGTTCAGAAATTAGAGAAACGTAACGTGTTTTACTAACGAACGTTGACGACCGTTATTCTCCTATTAAAAATGAAATAAAATTTATTTCATTTAACCTTTTAACGTCACAAAACGTTTATCGATTAATTTACTATTTTTTCTTTCTTAGTATATTAACAAAATCAACAGCAGTTGCAGCATTGATTTCCAAACAGCATCGACAGATATTTGAAATGCGAATCAATGTGGAGGGAAAACAGTTGCATAGATGGCTTAACCTTATCCATATTTGTATCCACGAGTTGCACTGTAATTCTCCATATTTCTCCATCACATATTTGACAAAAAGGTCACACACACACATACATTATAACGAAGATAATGATGTGTATATTTCTTTGTAAATGGTAAAAAGTAATCGTAAAAACAGATCAATAAACTCAAAATTCGCGGCGTGGTGTCATTAATGGCGTCACCGCCATTATCCTCAACGTCTTTTCAGTTTGAAGGATTCAAAATACTCCATGAATTTTAAAATTTCTACGCAATATTAAATTATTCCTGCATCAATCGTAACTCGTGACGCTAACTTAAATTTTCTTATTCCTCTGTGTAACCGTAAATTTGTATGTAAAACGTTTTAAGTTTTACGCATAGGTTTGTCGCAAAATTTTCCACTGTACAGCTGCCGCCATCTGTGCAACGGTTGAGAAACGTTGTCGTTTTGACGGCTTTGCCTTTATCCATACACGTGTGTTCGCGTGTTGCACGGACCGTTCGATTTTTGGCGGACAACTAGGTAATTTTTGCGAGTTACTTCTGAATCGTTGGTCGGGGGTGAAAACAGAGCGTTGAGTGATCCACGGGATCTCATAATTTCGGGGTGGTTTAACGTCAGAGTGGAAACGAGGTTTCTTTTGTCTTGACTGAAGCTGTTTCATCTCTTTTTTCCCCCTCCGATCAACTCTCTAGCTCAAATGGTTTTCGTTTTCGACGTTCGCGAACCACACGCGACCTAATTATTTCAAATTCGAACGTATCGTCGGGTCGATAATTTTTTTTGAAATTCGTGGATCGTTGTAGAACTCTATTTTGCCTCGCACCCTTTCTCTCTGTCCTCGTCTCGCCTTTCCTGTCGCTCTACTTTATTATCCTCTATCTCTCCCTCTCTCTACGCGTGCACACACGCACACACACGCCCACAGGCACGCTTGCTCCCCTTGGTTGGCTCGTGCGTCGCACCGTTTACGGCAATAGAGGATTTTCGAATTTTCAAATTCGAACTCACGCCATACCGATCTCTTCCCTGAACACACGTGCTATCGTGTTCCTAACCTGCGGCTTACGTAACGCGTACCCCCTTGTGCAGCATCTAGAGATCCGACAATGCCATCCGACGCGAAGAAGAAGCAGCAGCAGAAAAAGAAGGAGGCTGCTAAGGCCAGACAGTCTGGGAAGAAACCAGCTCAGCCTAATCAGACAAAAACAGAGGATGGCAAGGAGGGCAGCCCTCCTGGCTCAGGGGTCACTCAAAATGGTACCAATGGAACCCCTATCAGTGCTGAAGGTAAAATTGAAAATGTTTCACGAATTTTGGACAGTTGACCTGATTGGATTTTTGATTGATTCTTTTATAGAGGCTTTGTGTCTGAAATTGGAGGCAGATGCCAGACTCAATGCAGAAGCACGTTCATGTACAGGCTCATTGGCTTCGCATCCACGTAGCCGTGACATAAAGATATCTAACTTTTCTATAACTTTTCATGGCTGTGAACTGTTGCAAGATACTATGCTAGAGTTGAATTGCGGTAGACGATATGGTCTACTTGGTCTGAATGGGTCTGGAAAGTCTACTTTATTAGCTGTACTTGGAAACAGAGAAGTTCCTATTCCTGATCAGATTGATATCTTTCACTTGACAAGAGAGATGCCTGCCAGCAATAAAACTGCTTTAGAGTGTGTAATGGAGGTGGATGAGGAGCGTGTTCGGTTAGAGAAACTTGCTGAAGAGTTAGTAGAGTGTGAGGAAGAAGATGCCCAGGAGCAGCTGATGGATGTTTATGAGAGATTAGAGGATATGGCTGCTGATACAGCAGAAGCTCGTGCTGCTCACATTTTACATGGTTTGGGTTTCACAGCTAAGATGCAACAAACACCTACCAAAGATTTCTCTGGAGGTTGGCGAATGAGAATTGCTCTTGCCAGAGCATTGTATGTGAAGCCTCATTTATTGTTACTTGACGAGCCTACTAATCACTTGGATTTGGATGCTTGTGTATGGTTGGAAGAAGAGTTGAAAACATATAAAAGAATTCTTGTCATCATATCTCATTCACAAGATTTCCTCAATGGCATTTGTACAAATATCATTCACGTTAATAAGAAACAATTAAAGTATTATACTGGAAACTATGAAGCGTTTGTGAAGACGAGGTACGTTAAATACGATATTGCGATCGATTCATCAATTTTCGTTTTGTCGGATAGCGGAATATACTGACAAATATTTTTTTTAATTTTTTATTAGGATGGAGTTACTAGAGAATCAAGCCAAACAGTATAATTGGGAGCAGGATCAAATTGCGCACATGAAGAATTATATTGCCCGGTTTGGTCACGGCTCTGCCAAGCTGGCTAGACAAGCACAATCTAAAGAAAAGACTTTGGCAAAAATGGTAGCACAAGGCCTCACAGAAAAAGTTGTCAACGACAAAGTATTAAATTTCTACTTCCCCTCCTGTGGAACTATCCCACCCCCAGTTATAATGGTTCAAAACGTTAGCTTTCGATACAACGAGGACTCGCCTTGGATTTACAAAAACTTAGAATTTGGTATCGACTTAGACACCAGAATAGCGTTGGTCGGTCCAAACGGTGCTGGAAAGAGTACTCTCCTGAAACTCTTATACGGAGATGTAAGTACCAGAATCCCATTATCAATTTAAATCAGAAAAACAACAGCTATATAATATTGATGCAAAATTATAGTTGGTCCCATCAAGTGGCATGATCCGTAAGAACAGTCACCTTCGAATAGCCAGATATCATCAGCATTTGCATGAACTACTGGATTTGGATATATCACCTCTCGATTACATGATGAAGGCTTTCCCAGATGTCAAGGAACGCGAAGAAATGAGGAAAATCATAGGTCGTTATGGATTAACCGGTCGCCAGCAGGTATGATTAAAATATACAAAATACGCAAAACCGGTTTTAACATCAAAGCGATAGAAAGGTTATTGTTACCTCTGTTTTCATTTACAGGTGTGTCCCATACGGCAGTTGTCTGACGGGCAACGTTGTAGAGTTGTGTTCGCGTGGCTAGCTTGGCAAGTACCTCATTTACTACTTCTCGACGAACCTACAAATCACTTGGACATGGAAACGATTGATGCACTGGCTGATGCGATTAACGACTTCGACGGTGGAATGGTGCTTGTGTCTCACGATTTCAGATTGATTAATCAGGTTCGTCCCGATAGCAATGTTCAAAGAACATGACTGTTTCGAACAGTAAGATTAATGTTTTAATATTGATTCGTTAGGTAGCAGAGGAAATCTGGGTTTGTGAAAATGGTACCATCACAAAGTGGAGTGGGAATATTTTAGATTATAAGGAACACCTTAAATCTAAAGTTCTAAGTGATAACAGCAAGAGGCAAAAGGAGCTGCACAGAAGCAAATAATGTACACAACCTCCCGTTCTTTTTCCAGTATACTTTCCCTCTACCATAGGAACTTTCCCCTCACTCCTCTTTTTTGGACATTTCTTTGTGTCTGGCACTGACACCGCGCTGCTGTGTAGCGTTATCAGTGTTCGCGAATTATTAGTTAATTTATTTAAATGATAAAGCGAATTACTCTGTGACAACCTGCAAGATTAATCCATAGCACATTTGCTATGCAAATAATCTAGGGAATCCGATATCAATAATGTATTGCGAGAAATATAAATTGAATATATATATATATATACAATTGGATATATATATACATATATATATATATGTATATATATATAGATTACTACAGAATATTACGATAATAAAATACGTTTAAATATTATTGAAACTCTTCGAATACTCCACTTTTATTTTTCTTACGGTTCAGCTTTATTATAAAGTTCTACTTATCTATAAATTAATTTGATCTTTATAGTCGTACAAAATATATGTGTACAAACACTTATAAATACTTAATACAATTGACAATGACATAGTCCTCGAGATAGAATTTTTGTTTATCTCAGGTATACATAAATACTCTGATATAGCATAACAATGGAAGACTAAAATTCTCTGCGTATATCCATATCACAAAACATTACCTCTGGTGTTCTTTCATTGTAAAAATGTTTAAATATATATATATGTATATCTCACAATATTTTTTAATACGTCGTGAAAGTAATGTATGCATTTTTATAATAATTATAAGTAGATGAAATGTAAAGCACTAAATAATATTGTCGGTAGAGAACTCGAACGTGCACTGTTAGGTTTTGAACCTTGACATAATAAAAGACAAGTATAGAAAATATAACGTTTCGTAATATGTATACCTTTTCAGATCTTTAACATAATGTAATGTTTAGACCCAAAACCTATATGTGAGATATAAAGTTTGTAAATACGGAAAAAACATTACTGTGCGTCAGGAAAATTATACTACTTAAACTGGCGTTGAAGCTGGAACAGAGCATGCCACCTCCTGCGCTAATGCGGCATTTCGTAAAATTGATAAGTGAGAATCCATATCGCTTAACGCTTGATCAATAAATGCTAATTTCCTGGCATGGCTCTTTGATACGCCGTGTTTTGTAACCAGTGCTAAATGTGTAACAGCTAACACTAATGCTGCTACTCTAGCTTCCAGAAGTCTGGCATCTAATGGTGGATACAAACTTCTAACCACATCATCCACACGAGGTGGGATTCGTCTGGCAACCTAAAAGATAGAAACTTCATAATGCAGTACAAAACTATAGCGTCATATTAAAACATACAATCACTTACATCTACAATCTCAAGTGGAACTGTGTTACTGTTCACTGTTCCTGCAATAGCAGTAAGACTGGAAGCCAGTGCATGACATGATCGTAATACAGCAATACACAAGGGAGCTAGACCAGTAGCATCGTCAACCCACCTATAGTATTTATACAATTTAATCATTTCAGAATTAATTCCCCTACAATTCGAAATCTTGTTTCCTTATATTAATAAGCGCATTGTACCTTTCAGCACCAGCTAACCATTCTTCACTTTCCCATGCATCTAAGCCTAAACCAGAGAAGTTTTCTCCTTCTAATAAATCTGAGCTTAAATCTGGAGAATCCTTTTGATTCTGGAAGACGATTCAAGAGTGTCAATATCTTTCTTCTAGTACAATAATGACCAGAAACATATAACTTACATAATAGCACCGTTGTCTTTTACAAAGAACAAGCAACACTAAAAGTGCACCAAGGAAAACAGCAGCAAGTGCACCAAGTGCAACAGCTACCACTGTTTCCATACCAGAAGCACCTGCTGTAGGCCCAGTGTTGCTTATGGACACAGGAGAACTCATCATTTAGATGAGCTGTACGTATTAGATGATTTTATTGAAACGTATATTTAAAAAGATTACAAAACTTCATTAAACAGTTCATGAATGCTAATCAAAGTGTATCTCTAGCGTCTAAAATGTCAACAACAGCATCGAGTTTCCCGGTGATAGTCGGTGGGAGGCGGAGACTGTCACGAATCTTAAGCTCCATTCATCAACAAGTAATTTTTGGTTACATCTTTCACATCCATCGTAGTATTACGTAATTAACGAGCGGTAGCGTATCTTGCGTAGGTCGTTGTCTATATTGAACGGAAAAGTAGTTGAGAACTTCTTGAATTAAGGAAGAAACTGTACCAAATAAAATTGAAAGCAGGTCAGAAGCAAAATCACGAATGCACTTAGTGTTTGACCCTAGAGACCTAAATACACTCACATTTTTAAGGATATTATTTGTTATAAGCAATTACATCTAGGGATACTCAACAAAATATTAGATCTATGAACGGCCGTTAAAGATTTCTTCAAAATAAAAATATAATGAAATAACCAATAAATGAAGAAAGTATTTTAAATGATTTGAACTTCAATGTTTCCTTCTTTGAAATCCCCAGTTTGCGCATGCAGTCGTATTCCAACGTGCTGATGCCAGTGAAAAGTGTAATTTTTAATAAAGTAGTCGTTCGTCCGTGTGTTTATCCTTTAATTTAACAAACAGTCATGCGTACTTCGGATGGTATCAAATATTGACATTTTGCAATGGTATTTGTTCAGAAACCACATGTAATATGCGGATTTTCTCGCACGAGCCATAATGGAGTAAAGTGTAGGGATTTCGCAAAAGGAAGATGATTGAATGATTCGCAGCGTTATACGTTAAAATTGAACCGTTCTGCGGTAGGCAAACTTGGTAGCACTGGGAATAGGAATGTTTCAGTGTATTTCATAGTCTTATGTTTTCTGTCATGAAAAGTTCGCTGTCAAAATTAGTGTCATTCGTGAATATCTGCTGAATGGACTAACGAAAGATCTGTATGAGAGATTCTCGACTTGTGGTAAGCTGTTTGCCCGTGAAGTTTTAAATCCCCATTACGATTATAACGTCAAAGGTAACCTATTTCAAGTGATCCGCGAATTGGCCTCTATTTACGCGCAGATGATCGTGATCTGTGAGATTACTGACGAGACTGTTTACAAAGAAAACACGTTGCAAACTTTTTAACTCGAAACCTCAAGTTTCCACGTGGAAATCGTCAGTACAGTGGAGTACTGACACAAATTATTTAACTGAAACGTGTTGTCTAATATTAAAAACATATCAGAAGAAACACTGGACGAAGAATATTGCAACAGAGCACTTTTTAAAGTAGACATAAGTGGAAGAGTGGTAAATAAATATTTACACTTGGTTGAGGACCAACTCTTAAGTCAATATGAACAGAAAAACAAATAGTGCAACAGCAATATTGAAACAGGATTATTTACGATTGAAAAAAGATCCTGTACCTTATGTTCTTGCTGAACCTGTACCTTCAAATATATTAGAATGGTTAATAGTTAATATTGAATTGGATTCATTCATATTTTATTATGTGGAGTAATATAAAATAATTTTGAACACGACATAATGTTTTGTAGGCATTATGTTGTAAAAGGCCCAGAAAAAACGCCATATGAAGGAGGATTTTATCATGGAAAGCTTATATTTCCTGGAGAATTTCCATTTCAGCCACCTAGCATTTATATGAGCACTCCGAATGGCAGATTTAAGGTTAATACAAAATTGTGTTTATCCATATCTGATTTTCATCCTGATACTTGGAACCCGGCATGGAGTGTGTCTACCATTCTTATTGGATTACTTAGTTTTATGGTATGCAAATAATTATTTATGACCAGTAATCTTAAAATTATAATTTGATGTTTAGCATTGATAATTTTGATAATAGATTGAGAAAAGTCCTACTTGGGGTAGTATTAATACAACAGACTATGAAAAAAGACAGTTGGCTGCACAAAGTTTGGAATATAATTTACAAGATAAAATGTTCTGCGAACTCTTCCCAGAAACTGTTGAGGTACTATTAATATTTTTCTATTATAAATACATATGATTAAATGTATATTGATAATAAAAACGAAACAATTTTATATTACAGGTTATTAAAGCAGAATTGAAACATAGAAAAGAATTAGAAAAGCAAGGAAGGTATCAATCTATGACATCAGAGGTTTCGTCTTTGATTCAGGACCAGTTGCAAAGAGAACAAAGTCCGTTGCATAGAGTGCTTACTAATGTTTTGGTCATTATAGGCTTCACAGCATTTGCGTTTGTAGTAAAATATGTATTAAGGAGCATTGCCATGGAATAAGTTGGAAGTGATTGTGAAGCATTCACCTGTTTTCTAGATTATTTAAGAATGGAGAAAGTTGTGATATAATGCGTGCAGATCTTGAGAAATGATGTTTGAAACTTGAGATGTAGAGTTCTAGAGTCTGACATGCCTGCTTATCTATATTTATCTACACAGTACTATACAACCTCTCGGTTCTGTGTATGCCAGTATGCTGTGGGTGTTTGATAGATTTTTATATATGAAGGTTAATTGTAAAATACAAGTTGTACTATATTTGCAAATTTTAAACGTGATAACATACTACGTCAGGGTTGGAAATTTGTTGAGAATTTACTAATTATTATTGGGAACATAATGTCTTAAGTTCTGACACGTTGTCAAGAATTTAACATTGTTTACTGCTTAGAATCTGTTTCATTGACATTGGATTGAATCGAGTTCTGTCACGCAAACTTCCAAAGCTGTGGTTCTTTACTGAACTCTTTATAGCAGTTATTTTATGAATTGTGTACAAGTGTAAAATGAAAAGAGGGAAAAAAGAAGGAGACCTAAAAAGAGGGGAAAAAAGGATCGTAGGGGCTTCCTGTTTTATGAACATTGAAAACTTTTTGTTATAATTTTAAAACTTCAATTTTCGATTTCATTTATATACTCGTGGAGAATCTTGCCCTATAATACACTGTAACGTTTAAAGAAAATGTAATTGCACAAACTTATATGAACAAAACAGTTTGTTTGCCTCTGCGATGTGCCAATGAAATTGAATTGAAATTTGAACTGAATTGATGTGAGCTTAGTGGAATAGCTTGTGTCAGAAGAGAATAACGTCGATCTTGTAAATATGTGTAGTAAGTTAGTAAGGTAAATGCAATTAATGAATACAGACTTACCCGGAAAGGGGCTGGTAACGTCGGTATCCATTTTCGGTCTCGAATACGACACTATCATTTTAAAAGCAATTCCATTTAAAATAATATTGATTCTTCCATCATGCGTTTTCATTGTAACACTAAAACTAACATCTGATTTAAACTGGTCACTATCATTAAGAACTAAAATAGGATCGATAAGTCGATATTTATGTTACACGAAACTGCCTCACTATTATTTACAAATTAAACTTCCGTATGTAAAAGAAAGTGTCCACTTTCTTATAGTTGTCTAACTATTGTATAATTCTTGTAGCTATCTGTATATTATATATTTTCTACTCAACAATTCTTTTTTAAACTTTAACGTTAAACACGAAGGAACCGGACGTGTCAAATTTGACACATAAAGTCCGGTTTCTCGCGCCCATTGTCCACCATATTGGATCTCGAATCGATCGAGATATTACGGTCGGAAGAATTCGATAAATACGTTATTTTTATAACGAAACAATCGCTTTGTCTTCTAAAATGAGTTTTATTAATCATTTACGTCGAGAGGAAAAGTCTATTTATTAATAGAAACTAGAATTGCTATCTATGTTAACCTATAATTTCTTTGGTCAGTTTGAATATATTTTTGAAGGTTATCTAAGATTATGCACGCCTATTTGTATTCGTATTTTCTATTTCTGCGTGTATAACGAAGAACATTTTTTAATCCTACTGTAAGAACATGTAAATACGCTATACTGTAACGAGAAACGTGAGATACATCCGCTCAGGAACATACGAAAACTCGTAGGACCCGTTATCGCAAATGCGCAACCGCGGGATTTTTGAAATATCGCAATTCGTTCGTTACGAATCTCACGCCTTTGCATTACACAAATTGCGCTTCTTTAAATACACGACACATACGTATTAAAGTCAATAGAAAGGAAGAACGAAAACTTTTCCTAGTTGACAAACTTTTAAACGAAGTATTAATGAATTTAAAAGGAAATACTTTTGAAAAGCATCATTGAATTCATCGACATTGGTAATAATAACGACTTAGTGACTCCCCAAACTTTATCCTACAGACATAAGATACCAAATATTGTTGTAACTATATATTTCTTTTATACATAGTATTTAACAATTGATAATATACATATATCTTGACATACGAGTGCGTTGTGCAATTATAACTACCTAAATCCATATTAAATGACCTTGAGTGACCTTGAAAACAGATTTTCGATCGAAAATCCGAATCGTTACATAATCATTTAAGGGAGTATACACACACCTATGTAATTGTTAAGATATTAGTAAAATTAAATATTTTTTCTTTAAATAGTTATTAAGTAAAATGGAAAAATCTTTTTATAGGATATTTAGCAAGACCATAGTCTCCTTATTAGTTTATTATCTGAAATTATAAAATGGTAACGTTGTACAATATTGCCTATTATATAGTATAAATATAAATGTTAAGTTTAAATGTTTGTAAGAACTCAATAAGTTGAGGCATCAACAATATCGAACGCTACTTCCGAAATATATATTCGTATTTAAGTTCACATAAAAATTATGCCTTTTATGTTCCAGTAACTTTCCCTGCTTCGTGACAACTAAGAAGGACCTGCCAAACATGATAATAGACAATATTGTATAACGCTGTCACTTGATAATTTTAAATAATAAAAAGAATATGATAGTAAAGTTAACGTATTACTAAATAATCCCAAAAAAGATTTTTCCATTTCGCTTAACGATCACACCTACAAAAAATGTTTAATTTTACCAATATTTTTGTTTCTATACAGTGATGAGCTCATTTAATCTTTTCGCTTAATATTTTGACCTAAAATTGCCAAATTTGATTATTTAATTATATACAAAAAATATACACGAAAAGGAAACAATATGCATATATCTTACCGTATACGAAAAAATGGGAAATTAATTAAATTCTATTGCTCTGTTATGAATTTACTTGTATAAAATTGATGTGAAAACGTCATAAGTAGCTTCAAAAATCGTATGACGAGTCTGGTCTGTCAGAAGAACCGAAGGGGTTAAATGGTGGTGCGTACGGGGCTTACCTGATTCGTTAATGGCGATAGGCACCAGTCTTAAAGAACGATTCACCGTTTATCGATCGGAAAAGAAGAAAGGGAAAAGGGAGCCGTCGGTTTACCGCAACGGTAAACAGTTAGAATTTCCTTTGAATGGCCCCTTGTCCGAGTGCGCTCGGGAGGAAGGACGCATCCTGTGGAGCCGCCTTTAGCTTTCTTACCGGTTCTCTGTTTACTTGTTCGTGGCACAGTACCCGTCATGGCTGTTCGAACATTTTTTACTGTAAATGAACAAAGATCATCTGTACCGTTGATATCATATGATTACAAGCGATTCTAGTTAATTAATCTCCTTAAGTTCGCGCAATTGTTATTTGTTATTGGACCGTGGATATTTAAGTACATTTTATTGTTTTCTGGTGAAGTTTTTGATACTTATATCTTTGCACTCGCGTGTCATGCTGGAGATGATAATACAAATTTGTTGTAAAAGGTTGCAGGTTGTTTTAAAAAGTATAAAATGATAAATAAAACGAATATAAAACGTTGAATTCTACCACAATAAATTGCTTTAATACATTTCCCTAAAAATGAATACAAGTTTACATTTAACAACGTTGGAAATAAACCGAGTGCAAAGGGTTAAAAGAACGTAGAATTTGTACTCTTGCATTGATCGTTTAAAGGGTTAAAAATATTGTACGGACAATTAAAATTCTATTTATATAACTGGTGTGTTTGCCTCGAAATTTGTAGAGGTAAATAAATATTCGTTGTGTAATTGTTAGTATCAAAAGTATTCCATTTCCAGCGGCCTCACAATGTTTATATAGAAAAATAATTATTCACTGTCACGTATTCATTACAAATAAATGTTTATATTTCTTCTCTCATCATACTTACAAAACCATTCTACTTCAAGCAATAAAAATTGTAGACTAAGAGACTGAGATTAATAAAAATCTCTTATAATTCACAAATCTTCTTTTACGCACGTTATAATGGTCCATATTATGCAGTTTAATTAACAAGTAAATAATAAAATAATATTACAATGCTATAATAAGTAGAGGAAATACAATGTAATACTAATATAATAAGTTTTATAATATTACAATGTTGTTTTCATTGTTCATGACAAAAATTATTACTTAATAATAATTATTAATAACTGAAAATGATTAATATAAATAATATAAAAGCGATTAATAATAATCATTATTGGTAATATTATTATCCACTAACGTTATTTCTTCCTACTAAAAACACAATTTCACATCTGTCTCGGGCACTTCCTGCAACCTTGCACCTTAATCCAAGGAAACGCTGCCGCAAAAGAAGCAAACAGCAATTTATTCGTCCACGAAACAACAAGGAAGTCGCACCCCCAGAGTATTTTCCTCCCTCGACCGAGGATCGTGACCTCCCACCCCGGCCTCTTCTCGCCGGAGAACGCCCCACGAGAATAAATCATCGGTCCAGGCGCCAGGACACCTCGGTCTCGCCTGAGATCCTGCGAAAATAAGATGCACATGTCCACGAGGCAGTTCCGTTCCGTTCTATGTATTTACGTGGATTTATTGAATCGGTCGGTCCATTTTTCCTTTCCAGGTGCTTGAACGCGTAATTAAACCTCTTACGCTTGACATTGCCGTTTTTGTGCGCCATTGAGTAGTTAAAATGGCGGATTTGTAACGTAAGTATTTAAATAGAAATTGAGGAGATCATTATTATAGCTTCAGTAGTGAATGAAAATTGTGAGAAAGTGTGGCGATTTGTGAAAGAATTTGTAGTTGGTTCTTAAACAGTCGAAGTCTTGTGGATATTTATTGTTAATATGTAATAGCAATAGAATAAGAATATTAAAATGTTGATATCTGATAGGATAATAATAATAGAATGGTAATAGTAAGATATTAATATCAAGTAGGACAATAATAATAGAATAATAATAGTCAAATATTAATATCGAATAAGATAATAAAAATAGAATAATAAAAACTACCATAATAATAATGGAACACCATTATGAGGTTACCAACTGTTCCAAAATTTACAAAACGAATAAAAAATTTTAAAATATATTTTCCTATTATTTCACAAATTAACAAACAAACGTAAATATTTTAACATCCACTTGCACTTTAATAAACACAATTAACATTCACTACTTACAAAACTCACGTCTTTATACACAATCTATATTTCTTCAAACAAACGTTATAAAATAGAAATAATCAAAATCAATTTATTGTCTATATTTTAAACTTCATCAATATATTATTAAAATACGAACCCCTGTTCTGTTAACACGTTCACTACAACATGTACTAGTAGTACACAGTTCATTTATAATATTAGAATAAATCAACGTTAATAAGTCAATTATTTACTAAATTATTTATATACATTTACATACAATTAGCAATTGAAGTCAGAAAACTAAAGACGCAACAATAGAATGCCCTTAAACATTATGTTTACAGACATTGTTATTACTGCGATCTATGATCAAACATATAGAAACATGTCCCGACCTGAATCTGTTAACCGAACAATTTCTTTTTATAAATTGTCGCTGGTCGGGAGCAGCTTTCGAGGAATCATTTTACGTCACTCGTTTCC